GTCGAATGTGACATACAGTGGGGTCATGATGATTTGAGGTCAGAAGTCAACTAAAAAATATTCGGGCCATAGAAATTTGAAGTCAGAAGTCAACTGAAGTTTGGGGGTCGTGGTAGTTTGAAGTCAGAAGTCAACTGCAGGTTAATAGACTTTTTTGCCATATGAGTATACGTTGCCCATAGTGCATGAGGTGGTGGTAGTTTGAAGTGAGAAGTCAACTGCCTTAGTCGAATATGACATACAGTGGGGTCAGAAGTCACTGCCATACAATGGGGTGATGGTAGTTTGAAGTCAGAAGTCAATAGCCATATTAATAGACTTTTTGCCGTATGAGTATACGTTGCCCAGGGCGTAGGTAATAGACTTTTTTGCCATATGAGTATACGTTGCCCAGGGCGCACAAATAGATTTTGCCGTATGAGTATACGTTACCCAGGGGGTCATGGTAGTTTGAAGTCAGAAGTCAACTGCCGGTTTTGGGGTCATGATGATTTGAGGTCAGAAGTCAACTATCAGTTAATAGACTTTTTTGCCGTATGAGTATACGTTGCCCAGGGTGCCCCACGTGGAGGTAAGTCTATCTCACACCTCATGAACGAGATATTGGGTTGAACTGTTGGCCTATTAGACGATTGCAGGTGAATAGGGAGGAAAGGAGACGGCTAATTGGGGATGTAGAGAGTTAGTTGGTATGTTACAACTGCACTCTAAACAACAAATTCGTGAAATAAAGTGCTTGGCCGAAATATCCCAGCCGATGCGTCTTATGCCATCTATTTATCAACCATTTCCGAAAGTCAAATTATTCCGATAAAATGTAGTAAATGGGCCATGTAGGATGGAAGATCACTACCATGTGCGTACTGCAAAGGATGTACGCCGTTTCGAGCACAAAATGCGAGTTGTACAACATGGCTTATAGTGTACTACTTTTAGCTTGCCACAATAAGTTAATATGATGTAAAAATTTAGATTTCCTAAATGAATCACTTCCTCCGTTTGATATATTTGGACTTGATAAATTCGGTAAGGGATAATATCTGGCTAACAACGTTCAGTAGTTCGTTTGGTCGATTGCGTTGTTTGGAACCCTGACAACGTGAGGACAGGTAACATGCTTTCTCCTCTGGAAGTATTTTCTTCTTCCAAATTAAATCCTTTCCACACACCCTGCCTTCATGGAGATAGGAATATTGCCCACCAAACGTTTAAATTGGCTACCTAATCAACGTTTGTGAATGTAATTTTATTCCAACTGAAGAACCATGCGCTAATTTGGTGTGGTATACGTTTTACTCCACAATTGACCCCATACAAGCGCAACATATCTACCCAAATTTTTAGCAGTTTACAATTTTCAATTTCAGCTCCTTTAAGTGGTGCCGGTTTCCAAATGAAGATTAAGAATGCCATGCTGATTGTTCAGGTGATCGGAAATATCACGACTTGGACTTGTTCAGTACCCTATTTAATTTCTACCAACACTTGGAACAATTACGCCTTCCGCTGGTATTCTACAAATGGAAATATTGACGTGAGTTTTTGAGCATAAATAAAACAACTACTAGAAATATATAAGTAGATGTGTATTGATCAATATTATGCTGTTAATTGCAGATCTTCTTGAATAAAAAATTAACAGCGAGTTGTGAAGGTCCGAAAATCCAGACCATTAATGGTGTGATTAAAACAGAGGCCCAGGGAATATGGCTAGGATGTACGGCTGAAAACGGCACGGTGATTGAAACCACAACTATTGTTAACGCACATGTTATCCATCCCGTTCTTTGGTACTGGCCCTTGAATCTTAATGTACTTTTCCTCGGTGATAAAGGTAAGTGTTATTTCATCGTTGAATTGTTATCAATAATGCCGTTTATTTTAGCTGATCGGCTTGAGATTCCAATCACTGTTGCTCCTACTACTGAGTCTCCAATTGTTCTTGAAGTTGACTACACCAAACTTGTCGAGGAATATCAACCCAAAGACTGGTCCTCCCTCCCCACGAATCCCTACTATGCCACTGCGGATGGATTTTATGAATTGACTAGCAGTCCCACTCAACACCTCGGACAGGATGTCGAACTGGTCAAACCGAACTGCCGTGGACGCGGCTCCTATAGGCTCAAGACGAACAATGCCTATTACATAGTAAGTGGTGATTAATTGGAAAATTCAAGAAGCTAGATCCCGGGTCTTAGGCAGTAAAGTGGTGATAATTGATAAATACATCATGATAGTAGATAGGGATCAAAGTGACCTCATTTTAAATATGTTAAAAGCATATTTGACTGTTTTTTCTGCAGCTCGGCAACATTGATCCCGCTTTCTCGTTGCCTTCGATTGCGGGTGGTTTTTCCATTGGTGCATGGGTTAGTATACCGTCAACCCTCTTGGCCAACTCCATACCACATTCATTATTCGAGATCGCTGGTTTTATTCGGGTTGTTCTCTTTGGAGACTTCCTGCATGTATTTGGTAAGTGAAACCCCTCTCCCCCCACTCCACATCAGTTTATTTTATCTTTTTTTGCAAAAGACTGCGTTTTCATAAGCGGTAGTCACGTTGATGCAGATTCGTTTTCTTAAATTTGCGCTCATCACCCAGAGCCCAATCATATTATTTATTTATTTATTTCAAATGGCAGGCGTTTTGATAGCTATCATAAGCCCTTTAATTGACTTCGGGCTTCACAGAGGGAAGGTTCATCAAA